CACAAGGACAGAACATATGTTCGGTTTTTTAAAAATTGTGAAATATAACACACTTAGAGAAGATTGCACAAAACTACATGACAGGTTTACAAATAACTGAAGACAAGTGCCCATGTAGCACCACTGCCAAGATCATTAGCCCCTTAAAGCCTCCTGTATGCCCCTCACCAGTCAAAACTCTCTCCTTCTCTCAGGGACAGCTTCATGGGTTTGTGACGTCTGCAGTTGTACAGGGCTCCATGCTCAGAGAGGCCCCATACTTGGTTTAATGTCCTGCAGTTGCAGACTGCAGAAAAACTTTATAATTTTGTTGTTGTTTATTTTATTTCAGAATATTATGGGGTTACAAACATTTTGGTTACATAAACTGCTCTTGTACAGTTTGAGTCAAAGTTATAAGTGTGCCCGTCATCCAGACTGGGTGCATTGTACTCGTTAGGTGTAAATTTACCCATCCCTTCCTCCCACCCCCACATGCTTGATTTCTGATGAATGCCATTTCCATATGTGCACATAACTGTTGATTGATTAGTTCCAATTTAATGGCAAGTACATGTGGTGTTTGTTTTTCCATTCTTGCTATACTTCATTTAGAAGAATGATTTCCACATCCATCCACGTTAATACAAGAGGTATTATTAGCTTTTCCACGTTAATACAAGAGGTATTGTCATCTTTTTTATAGCTGACTAGTACTCCATGGTGTACATATACCACATTTTATCTTATTTTTTTTTTTAAATTTTTATATACCACATTTTATTAACCCACTCATGTACTGATGGGCACTTGGGTTGTATCTACACCTTTGCAACTGTGAATTGTGCTGGTATAAACATTCAAGTGTGGGTATCTTTTTTTATAGAACGTCTTTTTTTTCCTTTGGGTAGATGCCCAGTAGTGGGATTGCTGGATCAAATGGTAGGTCTACTTTTAGTTCATTGGGGTATCTCCATACTACTTTCCATAGAGGTTGTACGAGTCTGCAGTCCCACCAGCAGCGTGTGTTTTTGTCTCTCTGCATCCATGCCAGCATTTGTTGTTTTGTGACTTTTTGATAAAAGCTATTCTCACTGGAGTTAAATGATATCTCATTATGGTTCTTTATAATTTTTGAACAAGTGTCCCTGCATTTTAATTTTGCTCTGAGTCCCACAAATTTTATAGCCAGTCCTGACTTCACTCTTAAGGTGACCATTATCCTGACTTTTGCAATGATGATTTTCTTGTTTTTTTTATTTTACCACCCATGTATGCATTTGAAGCTCTTTCATTCCAATGGTATATTCTGATTTAGTATTCCTAGTATAAAGCCTATCAATCCTATGATTCCTACTGCATGGGTCCCAGATGTTCTGATTCCTGTCTTTCGATATCCCCCAAGACATTCTATTTTGCTTGTGTTACTAGTGTTGACTTCTGTTGCTTGCAACCAAAGAAACATAACTGGTATAGTCTCTTATAAAAGACTCTTGATAAAGAAAAAGACAGTATATAATAGCTTTTCCTTCTTTTATTCTTTTCTGTACATACCCCAAATCTGATGAATGTTTAGTAGATGGAAGATTTATTTTAAAATCAAATAACTTCCACTTTAGCAGAGAAAATTGAAGCTTGAAGTTGTGAAAGTAGTTACCTATTTAAGAAAATGTTACCTTCAAGAGAAGCCATCAAGCCCAACATTCCTGTGAATGACTTATTTTTTCTTCTCAGAAAAGTTACCGTGGGTTGTTAATGGATCACCATTTTCTTAGGGAACTCCTTCCCATGACATGTGGCTGAGGTGGGACCCCAAATCCCTGACTGCACGCGCAACTACATCATTTTGTTCTCAGTGATTAGTGCAGCGATAGGTAAGTAGCCCAAACAGAACTAATAACAATCCTCTGAAGGAGTTTTCTACTTGATCTTGCAAGGAGGATGATCTCTGGTCTTTGGGGTTGGGGTTCAAGGTGCTACAGTGTGGATAAACCTTCCTACAGTAGTAGAGACTGAAAGTCTACAGCATACCCACAAAAGGGGGTAAGTAGAGGCTACGAGGCATTAGAAGATATAAGGTGTCCAGGAAGTTAGAAGTTGATGTTGGTACAAAAACAGGGGCAGAGAAATGCTGGTTACCAGACTTCTCTTGAGCCCATGTGTTACTGTGCTTCCTTAAGGGACATTTCAGTGCTCCATGAAGCCTGGCTTTACCACTATTAAGAAGGTTTCCTCTGCTTCTTTGCTTCCCTGTATATCCTAAAACAAACTCCCCACACCTGTCTCGGCCTCATCAGAACTCATGCCTGTAATGAAACAGATTTACAAACTCTGTCCTTAGTCATTGGACTTGAGACCTTTCTGTAAACTCAGTGTGCTTAACCAACCATTGTTCTTACTAACAATGGAGCTTCTCTATGCACAGTCCCTGCAACTCAGGGGCAAGTGAAACAGCTCAAAGCCAGCAATATCAAACTAGTAACCCAATGAAGGGAGTCTACCAAGGACAACCTGCCATATTGTAATACTGATCCGGTGATTCTTGAATTCGTTTTTCTACATTGCCACTCTCTTGCCTATATCTCAGGCTACAAAATTGCTTCCCCTGGATTGAGGTTAGCCTCTCTACTTGCAATCTTGTTCCCCTTAACTCCATTCCTGACAGAGCAGACAGAGCAATCATGATAAAAGTATTCATAGTAATAAAGTGACTACCTATTGCTCTCAGGATGTGGCCTCAAATTCTTAGTATATATATATAAGGTTGTTTATGATTTATCTCTTATTTACCTTTTCAGTCTTATTCTTACGATCTCTCCCTATCTCCACACCATCCCTTATGGTCTCTCCTTCAGACTTGAACTCACTCTTTTACCTACTCACCTTTTACATGAGTTTTCTTCTGCCTCAAATGCCTTCTCTCCCTGCCTTTGTTGCTTTCTCCTCCTCTTCATTAAGGCTTTAGCTTAAGTGTCTCTTCCTTGAAAATTTCCCCTGAATCCCAAAGAGTAGGGTTCACAATCATGCACTCTGTAGAGTTCTTGTTTTTGAATTACAATTGCCCTTTAACTTTTCTGTCTTAAACTTGGCTGTAAGTTTCTTTAGAGTGGCTGGCACATAGTTGGTACATAAATGAATGTATGAGATTAGAGGAAACTCCTATAGCCAGAGCCCAGGGCTGTGTTGTGGATGAAGAGAGATCAGAGAATTGGGACTGGTAGCTGTGGAAAAATGTGGGGCCAGGGTTCCCAACCACTAGTCTAACAAGACCACTAGGAACCATGAATTACTTAGGAGGATACCATTTATTGTATTTTATTTTTTTTGAGACAGAGTCTCACTTTGTTGCCCAGGCTAGAGTGAGTGCCATGGTGTCAGCCTGGCTCACAGCAACCTCAAACTCCTGGGCTCAAGCGATCCTTCTGCCTCAGCCTCCCGAGTAGCTGGGACTACAGGCATGTGCCACCATGCCCGGCTAATTTTTCTATATATATATTAGTTGGCCAATTAATTTCTTTCTATTTATAGTAGAGATGGAGTCTCGCTCTTGCTCAGGTTGGTTTCGAACTCCTGAGCTCAAATGATCCGTCCGCCTAGGCCTCCCAGAGAGCTAGGATTACAGGCGTGAGCCACCACGCCCGGCCTGGAGGCTACCATTTTAATCAGTTAAGGCAATTCCTCCAAACCCATTCATCTTCTTTTCTTGCATATTTTAACTAGAAATAAATACCAGCCCTCCCCCTGCCTTGTCAGTATTTACATGTAAGACAACTTGCCTATTTCATAATGTCTCAAAACAAATACACAAAATCTGTCCCACTAGGATGCCTGTTAAGCTGTAGTTAGAAGGTTGGCTTGGGAGTCTATTGGTTGAAATTGGATTGGCAGAAGAGCAAAGTGCAAATGGTTAAACAGATTCCTTAAATTCTTAACAAAATAAAAGATAAGAAAACCAGAAATATCACCTCCATCCTGGCTAATGTGAAAGAGCTGATAGGTAAATGGCAGCGTACTTTTAATCCATTACAGAATGTTGGTTTGTATTCATGTTTAGTGATTTCCTTTCTTTGGCACACCCTGACTTACGAAGGCAACATCTAGTGCACTGCTGACAATGAGATTCTGGGTAAGCCACTTTACTTCTTGGGATTCCATTTTCCTCAGCTGCAAAATAGGAATGATGATAACAACTGAGCTTTCCCTGCCAGGAGGCACCACAGTGGAAAAAGTTTTAGAAACAGCCTTGTAAAAGCCAAAGCCTGCTGTAAGTACAAGGCAGCATTAACACACTGCCACCCCCGTAATAACCCACACAAGAAACAAAGCCAGGGAAACTGAGTCAGTAAGCACTGGATTTGGGAGAAGTGTTGTGAGCAGAAGTCATGAGGTCAACTTTTATGATGCTAATAAATAGGAAGCACATAAATCCCATTTTCTTTGATTGAATTAATTATTTTGAGCAAATTCCCTCTCATCAATTGTATTAGAATGTTTTTTGGCATCTCAGTTTTATACAATGTCATGTTGTATTTTGTGCATCTTGTTCATCAATTTAAATCAGTAAGTTGGCAAAATATTTACAGGACCTGAGGCTCTCCTTTCTTTTCAGCACACAGCAAGAATATGGAAGGAATGTTCAGGAAGGCATTTGTATCTGGGTCTTAAGTAAAGATGGCCATTGGCATCAGTTAGGGCTGGACTCAGGATAATCATGGGGCATGCACATAGCTACATGCCCTTGCCACAGCAGATATCAGCAATCAGTCACAGCACCTTTCCCCTCCTTAAGCCTGGAGGTGGCCTCGGAACCCTTCCCAACACAATGGTAACTGGACCGAGTCAGGGCGAAATCCATTTTCATGGCATGTGTAGGCACTTATCTGAGCCATGACTCTTCGTTATCAAACTATTAAGCAGCTATTAAGTGATACTCTAATGCCTTACTGAGAACATTAAACCAACAACTTACAGGTTTACAACTTACTCTTTCATTTTCAGAGCATTTATTGGTTGCACTTAATTCAAACAAAGAAAACAGGATAGCAGAGTTAAACCAAAATGCCTGGGTTATAATTCCAAAGAAGCTCTTTTCTCTTCTTCCAGCCACACGGGATATTCGATCCTTCTAATGCCTTCAACTGTTGGCTTCAAACAGCTGTGAAGAAGAGGAGGAAACCTGACACTTTAGCTGGATGATGTTTATACAGATGCAGCTTCTTCCTTGGCATATTTGGTTAGGAGGAGCTCAACAAGCTGGAAGCTGAATCTCAGGAATGTTTAAATAAAGTGACATTGACACAGACCTTTAGGAACATTTGCAAACTCCATTCTAACCTCACTTAGAACAGAGGTTCTTAATCTTTATTGGGCATGGATTCCTTTGGCAGTCTGGTGAAGTCTATGCACCCCTCTCAGAACATTGTTTTTAAATAAGATTGTAAAAGAAAATACATTTGGTTATGAAAATAAAATACACTGGGCTACCAAGGAATTCGGTATATGGAAATAGTTATTGAAATATTTTTTTAAATCTGTGATAAAGATTTTTGTATGTTCTTATTTATTAAACATTAAACAAGATATAAATGCAAGTTAAGTAACTTCCATAATTTTTTAGTCATGAGGAGGGCAAATATTTTCAGATATCTGGGGTAACTGTAATGTTTTATGAAATTATCTGTCATTTCTATTGGTGACTAAGTCACAGGTGCTGATAATACTAACTGTGGTTTGTTACCACATTTAAAATAGAAAAGTTGCTAACTTTCAGAGAGAGGCTAGGGGAAATAATAATGAAATTCTTTCCCCCATGCAACTAGTTCATGAAGCCTCTGAATTATATCCAGGCACCCATTTGTGGATGTGAAGACCTCTGGGCCAGTGGGGAACATTCCTACCACGAATTGTCCATTTAGAGAATGCCTGATGCAAACAAAGAGGGTCCTATACGGATTGCTCTGCTTTGGTGCGAGACCACCTTGCTCTTCCCTGCAAAAAGAGCATCTTTACTTTCAGAGACTTTTTTTTTTTCCTAAAGGGTAACACACAATTTAAACACATTCTCTGAGCTAGAAACTCAGCACCCCATTGTGGATGTGAGGAAATGGGAGCCCAGCCAGGTTAAGTGACCTGACTTGTGACCACACAGTGAGAAAGGCCAATAAAACCAGCAGGGTCTGATTTCTAGAACTGGTATAAAGTTCTGTTACTTATGGTCATTTTCTATCCCTGCAAAGTTGAAGAGTTATTGTAGGAAGGTCCAAAGCCCTTGATATGTCTGACTTGAACCAGTGGTCCAAGGAAGGAACCTCACATGTAACCTGGGACTCCTTTTGGTCTAGTGGGGTTGGTTGGATGTAGTACCTAGCTTAGAACTTTTCCACAGGCTTCTGTAAGACATAAAGAACTACATGACCCCAGGGCCTATCTGGTGTTGGCAGGAGCTGCTCTAACAGTGTATCATCAAAGCATTTGTTAGTGCTAGATGTTCTGCTTTGTGGTTGGTTTTATACTAGATCAAACAAATTGATGGATATATGGGAGGTGTGTGGTTGGGGGTGGCAGCTGGGTAAGAGGAAACATTGTAGAGAAAATTGCCATTGGGGTAACGTACCTCTGACACATTATAATTTAAATTCACATTAGACTTTAGCTTATATTCTCTATAACAACATTAAAGTTGATTAATGATTTATTTTAATTGCAATTTCATTTCTTTACCTACTCATAGAGATCACAAAAGGGCTCCCTAGAATGACTTACTACTAGCAGAACTCTTGAGAATCAATCAAATTGCCCATCCTTTCCCAACAATGTGGAAGCCAGCAAATAAGTCCATCACTCCTAGTATACTTCTCATTTGGCATTTTTCATGATGACAGTTGCAGAGTTGAGCTCCTGGGGCATCTAGGTTTCTCTGGGATTTGGAGAGTGCCCGGAATGCAGGAACATGAAAGGAATGAGCAAAGATGACTTTATAAGTTTCCTTTGAAGAGCTTTTCATTTCTATCCAATTCCTATCCAATTGCTTTTTCCTCCACTGAAAACATTACCCAAGTCATACATACTCAGGTAAAAATATAAACAATGTAGAAACAATTGAGCAGAAAGTACTAGTTCCTCTTTCTTTGCCATTCTCCAATTCCACTCCCCTCCCCAGAAGTTAATTATCTTTCTGGAACTTTTCTCTCTGTGTTTATATATATATATGTATGTAAATGCATAAAAATACATAAATGCAAGTAAAATACACATATTTCTTTACATAAATGGGAACATATACACTATATATATTTTCCTATAGCTTACTTTTATATTTAATATTTCTTAGATATCGTTCCGTGTTTGTACATATAGAGCTATCTTTTTTCTAAATACCTACACACTATTCCATAATATATATGGATGTACTATATTTGTTGAACCTTTTCTCTACAGATGGACATTCAGGTTGTGTGCAGGTTGGGTTTTTTGGTTTGTTTGTTTTGTTGTTATTAGGAACAGCACTCCAATATTATTCTACCTCTTTTAAGCTGCTAAAGACCAACCTTAAATGTGGTTTTTCTCTCTCTCTCTCTCTGTAGGAATAACTGTGAGGGTGAGAATAGCAAATGGAGAGAATGTGACCCATTTTCTTCTCACTGACCACCTTCTTCCCATCTTCCACTCTCCTTCCTGTCCACAGTACACAAAAAGAGAGCTCCCTCTGCTGAGAATGTAGTTCCCTGGGCAGCCCCTTTCATCCTGCTAGTTGCACTTCACTCTTTTTCTCCCCGAGGCCCCTGACCCAGCACCTGTGAGGTCAGGGGCCCTTCTTCCTGCTCCCACGGCCCTCTCTGCATCCATAGTAAAGTTACCTGTCTGTACACCTGCCCCCGAGGGGAGGGAAGGAACTCGCCATGTGTCCTCAGCACCTACACCATGATCAGCTGCAAGAGGGGCCCAGAGACAGACCTGGTGGCCTGAGCTGAAGGGCCTCCAAGTGAATAGCTCCTCACACTGTGTACACTTGGTCTACTTACCTTTAAATCTGTGTTGAAGCCAACAACATTAGATGATGAATCACCTGGATAACATCGGAGTATGGGACAAGGTGTACAGACTAAGAATAGTATTTCAGAAAGGTTAACATAACACAAATCATGCCAGCATTAGCCAATCCCTTTTCTGACCTTCCCCACACTCGTCATATCAATGGTGATCACTCTGATCTTGGCAGCGGGCTCCAGCAGACTGAAAAAAGAGCAGTACCTGTTCTGCAGGCTCTACTTTTTATTTTTATTAACATTTTTACCTGTGCCCCGCCTGCTCTCTCTCAGGCAGGCTGCTCTATACAACCGGTTCAGCAACCCCCTTTCCCAGGTGCAGCCCTGCCAGCGGAGGGCAAAGAGCACAGGAGGGCTGGAGAGAAAGTCCCCCTGAAGCAGCCATGGGGCAGAACACAGGCTGCATTTTGGGTCCCGAGACTGGACTATGAGGTGTCTTGGGGGTCAACTGCTGGTATTAGATAAAAGGGTGTCTTTCAAGAGATGAACATCACCAGATGGAAAGCACAGATCACGGGCGTTCCACCCCGCCACCAGATCGTGCTCCTTAATTCAACCTATAGAGAAATTGTGGACAAAACTGGCAATAGGTCGCAATCTCCCATTCTGCCTTATCCAGCTGCATTCTTGATATCTGCACAATGGCCCCAGCAGTGAAGGAGAAGGCAGAGGATGAGGAGAGGAAGTAGTAGAAGAAGCGCAATGGAGTGGTTTTTCTTCCTACTCTTCATTCTACAGACAAGCACGCAGACACCCAGCAAGGTGAAGGGCCCCAGGCCCCAGCAGCCGGGGCAGCGCCAGACCTCTGAGGAGAGATCAGCTCTCCCCTGTGCTGTTCTCTGCGCTGTGTCTGTGCCCCACATTTTGTGTAGGTACAACAGTTACCTGCCACACTTCTGGTTTAATCTATATGTAGGGGAAGGATCTACTATGGCTCAAATGCCTCTTCTATCTGTCTTGCCAATTTTTCCCATATAAAAAATTGGTTTGATTCTTTGGCTCTTTGGTTCTTTTATAAATGCAATTATCCCAGAAGAGGCAACACAGTCTTCTGTAATGTAGATTGAATAAAGTGAGTTGGGGGCTAAAAAAGGCCTGAGAGAAGGCGTGTGTGTGTGTGCATGTGTATATGTGTATGCATGTGTGTGTGTGTGCACATGTGTATATGTGTATGCATATGTGTGTGTGTGTGTGTGTGTGTATGCATGTGTCTGTGTGTATTAAGAGTTCCAGCTTTCCAGAGGGAATATATTGCAGATATCAAAAGGGAGGAGATGGGTCTGGGTTTACTTTTTGCCTAGAGACTGGTGTAGCATCAGGGACTTTTCTCTTAAGAGTGTCCATGGTGACTCTGACCACAAGGTGAGATGTGGACTCACCATAGTTCATGACCTGGTCTGGCTGTTCCTAAAACCATAAACTCCCACTGATCCAGATTCTTCTCAGCAGCCCACAGGAAGATGAGTCTATGCTGATCAGCAGATTAGGTCTTTAAAGTGGAAGATTGCCAGAGAGACGGGTCAGCAGCTCTCCTCGGCAGCAGAAAGTGGGAGGGCTTGCTCTGGAGCACAGTGTATCTGTGGGCTCTTAAATCCCATGCTTGTTCCCGCACCTTTTCCTTCTTTCCTAATGGTGGATTTCTTAGGTCATTGCCTAGCTCCAAAAGCAGCAGTAACTTCAAACCCTGCCAACTACCCTGATCTGGTGACTCTACCTATAATAGCTATCTTACTTTCCTTCTAAACCTTGCCAAGTCTCCACCTTTCTACTTAGTTGGAGAAGCTCGGAATGGAAAGCAAGGTATATACAGTAGTCCACCATTATTCACAGGAGCTATGTTTGAAGACTCCTTGCGGATGCCTGAAACCTCAGATAGTACAGAACTCCATTTATACAATGTTTTCCCCCATGCATACCCATGATAAAGTTTAATTTATGAATTAGGCACAGTGAGAGATTAACAACAATAACTAATAATGAAATAGAATAATTATAACAATATACTGTAGTAAAAGTTACATGCACATACATGATCTCTTTCTTTCTATCTTTCAAAATACCTCATACCTTACCGCAAGTAATTGTGAATCCACGGAAAACGAAACCGTGGATGGGGCGCACTGTGCTACATGGTGCTACCACAGCTACATATGCTAGGAGGATTGTTTAAAGAAGTCTGGACTCTCTTCCTCTTTGCGTTCCCTCGTGAGGATGGATAAAAGAAAGTAAGGCGTCCAAGCTCTCTGAGCTCCTTGGGGACAGGGGTTATGAATGCCTAGATTCTGTGGTTTATACAGGGCATTTAATCGTGCCAGTAATAGCTAGACTTTCCCTTTCTTAACAGATTTTGATTGCATGAATCTCCCAAAGGTCTTCTCTAAATTAGAATTTTTAAAAAGTCAACGGAAGTGGAAAACATTGCAGTCTCCCAATAATGACTGACAATAGGCAAGATTCTGCTAAAACCTGGGGATGGGGCGGGGGCCGCATCTCCTGTGACACAGGAGAATTCTTCTTCTCTGGAAAGTCTCAAAGACTGAAGAAGTAATAGGAAACAAAAAGTGAGTTTGAATATTGAGATTTAATAAGGCTTGAGATTTCTATGCCTAATCCTCACATATATTCCATTATGGTGATTCTCAAACAGACCACCAGAATGAGGATGCCTTATGCATACAAGAAGGAGGCAGAAAGAAGGCCAGGGGGAGGAGGAACTATATTCATTATAAAAATAAGAGCAATCACAAATAGTTCCAACAAAACTCCTGGAAAAACCAGCCCTGATTTCTACTTTTCAAGAAATTCTTCCTTTAAATTATCTGTCAGCCTCCATTGAAATCCTAAACTAAGTTCTTTGTATGCTTAAAACATGAAATCCAAGGTAAAACTAAACATTTTAAAAATAGATACATTCAGTGACATTGTGGAAAGCCAGGAGAAAGAAACTTTGGTAAGTCAACTGTTTCTAAAGTATTTCAGCCTGTCTGGATCTAGACAAGGGAGAAATTTAGAACCCAGCTGCATAGCTTCTCTCTGTGGCTGGTCAGACATTCTTCAGTGGCTCTGGTGGTTTGAAGAAAAAAAAAGTTTAAAACTTGCTTCAAAAAACAAGCAGCTCCTGTTGGTGACTGTTAGAATTGAGAAAACCGGGCCTGTATTCACATTGACCCAGTTACTGAAAGAGTACATGTCTCATATAAGGCTGCAGTACCATCTCCCCTCGAATAGGATGAGAGATTTTGTGCTATTTTTGGATGGTGCAGTTCTTTAAAACAAAGTGATAAATTAAGGTGGCCTCAGTAATGCAGCAAAAATGTTAAACTGTTTGAAGGCAAATGGAAAATGTGGCCTTAGTGTACAAAGAAGGAGTCAGCAGATGGAAAGGCTTGAAGTTGTCTCTCAACTGAGTTAAAAAAGAATGTCAGCCAATCAGTCCGGTATTGAATTTTGGAAACTATGCTGTGCCCAGTATTGTGCCTGGGCATGAGGAATTATTAAAGTGAAATTATTTTTTTGTTTCTGAATCCCCAGTGAGAGAATTCCTTGAGGGCAGGCACATCATTTGTTTTTCCTTAATAAGACCTGGACTTGTAGCCAAGTTAACTTCTCTGCTTCTGCAGTTCAAAGGCCATTGGTCACTGCCAGCATCCATCTCTCCCCAACCCTCTCCAAGCCCAGGCCTGATTGCTTCACTTTGTGCTTAGTTAAATCCTACATCCCATGCAAAGTTCAGCTTAAACCTCCTTTTGTTCCTTAGTGACTCCAGCCTGTGCTGGTGGCTCCTCTCTCCCCTCTCCCATTGCACTTGGGGTTGGAGCGCACCCACCGGTGTTCAGATGAGCAGCCGGGAGCAGAGGCATCCCTGGAGCAGCGTGCCCCAGTGATGCCGACTGCTGACCCGGTGGGAGAGAGGGAGAGAACCGAGGGAGCAGGGAGGAAGAAGAAGATAGATCCAAGTTCAAATCCAGTCTACTCGTGAGCAAACGATTCACGTCCTGGAGCCTCGGCTTCCTCCGCGCTCAAAGACCTCCCCCAGAAGGTTTGTGTGAGTGATCGTTTGCAGTATCTGTAAAATAAATGAATTTGTACTAAGCTGGTCTAACCTAAATCAGAGTGGTACACTGGGATGGAGAGGGTAAGTAAAGGCGGTTTGGGGATGGCTTTCTGACTTAGGTACCCCCAGTGATCCCTCCCACGACACCAGCTTCTTTCCTCTCTTGCCCTGTCTCAGTTTGTGCTTGGGAAGGCGTCTGTGTGCCAGGGTGTCTGGCTCAGTAAGTATGTGAGGGATAAATGAGTGAGTCCACCCTCGATGTGCTGGTAGCATTTACAGAAGAGCTTTACAAGAAGTGTTCTGGTGATTGGAAGTTCGAGCAGGGGGGCGGTTAAAGATGGAGTGACTCAGGACCTGAACTTCAATAGCTGCTGAACCTGACGCGTGACTGAGATTTGTTGTGGGAGACTTATTTTTTTGCCAGTGAGGACACCGCCTTCTCAGTCCTAGTGACAGTGTCCAGGCTCTACACTGTGTACTCATCATTAAGACCTTCCGAGGGAGCCCTCCACACTATGGGAATTATCCTCCTCATGTTCAGTTCAACAAGATGCATCTAAACACCAAGCTTTATTGAGTGCTTAGTATATGCACTGTCCTAAGAACTTGTTAATTCCATTACTCCTCCAACAATCCTATGAGGTAGGTAACACTATTGTGCCCCTTATTGGGGAAGCCAGGATTCCAGCCAGCCTGACTTCAGAGCCACTAGGTTAACCCTATGGTATACTCCACTGCTCCATCCCCTCTTGGACAAGAATCCTATAACTTCCATTTGCATTTGCAAGTGACTTTGATTTTTTATTTTTTTCTTTTCTTTTTGTTTTCTTTAGGGGTCTGCAGGCTGTATTTGATTTTTACTTTTATTGAGTAGA